ATGGATGAGGTTTTCGACATCATATGCTCAAAACATTCCATAAACAAGTTGGTGCATGCGAAAATCCATTGGGTAAATGAAACTTGAGTTCTATCCCCCCCCCCCCTCCTTAAAAGCATGAAAAACACGAAAAACTTGGGGTATGAAGCTCACCTTGGTTGTTTTCGTGTGTGGTAGGAAGGAGAAGAAGATGATGTCGAGCTTAGGATGAGGTTGACGATCTTGAAGAGCTTCTTGGAAAGGTTGGTATTCTAAAAAGGCTAACACACGAAAATGTGTGTGTAAAAATGGTGGAATCAACATAAAAATTTTATACGAAAGACTAGAGTTTCATAAATCATCTTACCTCAAACTCGAAAAATGCAAGGTTGATAAAGAACTCTTGAGACTCTTCTTGTTTTAGAGGGAGAGATGGAGAGAATGGATTGAATTTACTCTTTGGTGAGTGTCACAATGGCCTTTCGTCCATAGTATATATGGAAAGAGAAAACTTGCTTTAACATTACTTGATGAATAATTGGATGCCATGCATGGAGACATGATGGTTTGTAGGAAGTCTTGCATGGTTGTTTGATAGAGGAAAGAGTGTAAAGGTATGAGGTGTCACCAACACGCCATCCTTGGGGTTATACCTCAAAAATCCGATTTTATTGGCTTAGGAGAAAGGTTTTCGGTTTTTGGGTGGCCGAAAACACCCTACATTCCTAAAGGGTTTTCGGTTTTTGAGTGGGTATGATCTTTTGGGCTTAATTTGGCCCAATATAAAGGATTTTAGGCCTAGGGTTATTTGGGCCGAGAACTCTAAGCAAAAGCCCAAAATTTTAATTTTTGTTTAGCTATTAGATCAAAGTTGAGCTTATAAGAGGTTATTACAACTTGATTCTAAGTGTAAGCATATATGTACTCATATAATATTGTCGTTTTGAATTACAATAATCCACTTCAACAAGGTTACATGGAGAAATTGTTTGTACATGAATGAAATCTCGACCCTAATTTTTCTAGTTGTGACATGTACTTCCCAAGTGGTGTGGATTCAGAACTAGCTAAGAGACTATGGAATCAATATGAAGTGAATCCCTCTATATTGTGCTTTCGAAATCACCATAAGAATCTGCCACAATCTAGTGCAACACTCCAAGAAAATGCATATAGCACTGAGATACCACTTCAAAAAGGATCATGTCGAGGATGGAAATGTAGAAGTTCATTTTGTTAGATCCTGGGATCAGTTAGCTCATATCTTCACAAAGGTCTTACCTGAAGCATCATTTAATCGGATTCTACAACGATTGGGAATGATTGAAGCCGACTAAGTTCCGAAATCCACTTCATAATCCTCAGACTTCGGAAGTTACTATTCACATTCCGATCGGTTCCAAGCTTCGGAATGGTTCGGAATTCACTGTTCACTTTCGACTTGCTTCGATCTTCGGAATGGTTATGAAGTTACTGTACATCAGGATTCCGGAACCTTTTCTCTTTGTAAGTCATTTCTTATTTTCTCTACTTTTGTCGATTTCTTTGTTTTCATTCTGAAGTTACTGTTTATTTTTGTTATTTTCAGAAAATCAAAATTCCAAAAATATTTTATTTGTTTCTGTATTTTTCTTTTCAAAAAAATCAAATACATCAAAAATATCTTCTTTTCTAAAAATCGAAATTCATTTCTGAATTTAAGTATGCAACATTGAATTGACGGTCGACTTAATCACTTCTTTCTACCATGTCTCATCACAACTTTCATTTAGTTTCCTTGACTATGGAAACAAAACCAGTTTCGGTATAGGGCTACAACACTCTAGTTAATGATGGTAAAATTATTATCAACATAATTTTCGTGAAACTCCCAATCGTTAACTACCAATCTATTATTCTATCTCATAACCCCTAAGACTCTCAGGTTTTACCACTGAGGTTTAGGTTATAAAACATTGTGTTTGTGATCTTAAAATCATTATCACCATGATTTCGAGTGAAACTGAAAAATCTGAATTCCTTTTTCTGAATTGATGGCGAACACTTTTTGTGTTAGGTGTTTACCCAATGAACTGACGGATAAAACCTTTTGGTTTGTACCTTTGAGTGTTTAAAATCTCATTTTTCTTTTTGTGTGATCATAACGAAATGTTCTCGACCTAAGACATTTCTTCCCAACAAGATCCATGTTTTTATTTTTTTTTAGATTTCCATTATATTCAGCTACTTTAAAAGAATATCCCAAGCTTATTTGTTTTATGGCTACACTTGTCAAACACGTACTTCTTTCAGATCTTCGGACTTATGTTAAGTTTCGGAATCTGGGTGAAGCTGAAACCACCCGTTTAGCCTTATAAAAGAAGCCTTTCATAGTTTCTCAACAAACTGGTGATCGTAATTCAACGGAAAACAACACAAGAACTTCAGAGTCTCTCTGGACTCAGAAGGAAGAGATCATTGCACAGGATCAACCAGTTTTTCATATCAAAATTATTTGACATCACAGAATCCCACATATTTTATTTGCTTTATTTCTTTTTCTTTGGCACACTCTTGCACTAAAATCCTTGTGATTTTACAAAGTCTAGTTACTGTTCTAACTGATTACTCTAATTCAGAAGATTGGATCTTGGTTGTAATTCCTATGGATGATTAATGATTCCGAAAATGGAGATTCTGAAATGCCCTTGAAGTATTAATGAAAAAATTGATGAGATGGCACGCTTTTATTGGCTAATTTTTTTGTGCTACAGGAATGTGAAATGGCGGTTTCTCTCTCCACTCATCATTCTCATATATAAGGTTCTCAGACAGTTTGTTTTCTCTCACCGAAACACAGTTCTCGAATTTTCAAAGCAAAAACTGATCTCGCTCTCTACTGTTCATCATCTCCCTCAAAGCATCAATGGTCGGTTCATCTGAGCACGTCTCCTTCGCCGATCAGTCTGCATCAGTCATCATGCTCACCATTAAGCCCAACCATAACATGACCATCGACTTCGATTCTTCTTGTTACAGTGCCCTAATTACGCCCATTCTTGAATGTCTCAAGTTCTTGGCCCTAATGAAGGCGTTAACAATTGCTGAAGAAGTTCCACTAGTTCATCTTTCTAAAGCTTTCTCTACTGCTCTCTACAACAAAGAGGAAGAGGTCATCCACTTCGAGGTTGCCAACCACACAACATCGATTTCAAAGCCCCACTTCTTCAAACTTCTAGGGATCATTTCAACAGAGGTCTGTGTCGACCCTGAATCAATTCCTACAACCTATATGATCGAAATGTTCTACTATATGGGGTACACCAGCGACATCTCCTTGCTCTCCAAGTTCAGAAAGTCCTTCTTGGCACCGATGTGGAATGGATTATTTGCTCTTCTGTTCAAAAGCTTATCTGAAAGGGTCACGGGGCCTAACAATGTCAGTAAGCAGTTCTATACCTTAATCTATGGCCTCTACCATGGAATCAATTTGGAGTATAGGTCTGTTCTCTGGAATCAATTTATCCAAAGCACCACTTCATCTACACGACACACATAGATTTCTTGTGCTTGTTTCTGATGTGTAGTTGTGAACTGAGCCCTATCTCACTTCAAGGTTCCACTGATGAATGACTTTCTCATGGCTGAAATTCTGATCATTCAGACGACTACTTTTGTAATGTCGGATCCAAGGAACTTCAAGTTCGTTGGTTCTTTTCCTAATGCAATATTAGAAAAGGTACCGCTGTACAACGCTATCATTAGGGCTTATCGGAAATTGCCCTCTTCTGGTGTACATCCCATTCCAGCGGAATTACAAAAGATAATAGATGAGGGTAATAAACTGAAAAGGTGAGGAAAAAGGAAAGCAAAAGCTGCTACTTCAGAAAGTGTTAAAGTACCCAAGAAGGAAAAGAATCCAGTTTGGAAACCGAGATCTCCATCTCCGGTCATTTGAGATGAATCTAAAGAGAGAACTGTCACTGAAGTTCAGGAGGATGATACACTCAGAAATGAAGAGGAAGATACAGTTGCAACATCTGAACCTCCCCCTACAGAAAATATTTTTAAGGTATCCTCTCCACCGTCTTCCTCCATTCCTACTTCTGATATTTTTGACACTATTCTACGAGAACCATTTCTGAACCTCACTACTACTCCACCACCACCACCTATTACTCCACCAACGTTACCAATGTCAACCTCACCAATTACCTCCATAATTCTGATCTCATCGTCCCTCACTCCGACAAACAAGTTCTATTGAGACTTTACATCATCAGGTCTCAATCCCTCTTTCTTCACCAATCTTTTCAGACTGCACGATACCCACAACTTCAACTGTTGCAACTCCACCGGACGTCCCTGTAGTCAAATCCGTTTCGGACGAGATACAAACTTCAGGCATCCCTATCAACGTATTTGATGCGGGGACAAATGTCAATATCGGTGTGACTTCTGAACCGGGCACATCAACTACTCCTCCTTTCAATGAGGATGAAGATATATTGTTCGGAGATGAACAAGAACCCATCGAGGACTTCGTTTTCCAACCCTTTAAATCTCAACTTCAACAGTGATGAAGACAAAGCTCCCATGACAAAGGGACAGTTCAAGCAGTTAACATAAAAGCTTGACTCAATCTTAGATCATCTCAATCCTTCACTTCTACGAAGTGGAAAAATCTTCTGACTACTCATCGAGCAACCGTGGAAATGCTCACATCTGCAAATACCAAAGTCATTGAAGAATCCACCAAGGCTGACCAAGCCTCAGACAAGAAAATAAGTGAAGCTGTAGAAAAGGTCCTACAATTAGAAAACGAAGTCAAGGAATTCATGGCCGACTTCAGGACCTCTTCTGATAAGAAAACAACACAAATGAATAAGGTCATCTAAGGCTTTAGTTCTTCTTTGAAAGCTGAGAAAGAAGCTCTTTCAAAAATTTGTGCCGACATCAAGCTTGACAATGTCAATCTGGACTCAACCATCACCACCCAGCTTGATAAATTACAAACTGACTTAGCAGCAGAAAATAAGATAATGGATGCCTTAGTGGAGCAAACTCAGAAGGCAAAGGTTTTGCATGAAAAATTGAAGAATGCTAAATCTGATGTCGCTAGGCTACAAGAAGAGAAGTTCTCTGTTAAGGATCGCAATTCTGAAATTCATCAACGACTGTTGAGAATCGTTGAGACTAGATCTCCTCCATTCAATGATAGAGTACACCTTGCTCTATGTGAAAAACTTAAGCATGTGTTCGCTCTGCTGAATCAAATCCATGGTGTTTTGGAAAGCGGTGCTTCTTCAAAACAATGGGGAGACGAGGAGGTTAATGTGAAAGAAGATTTTGATCAGAAGGGCAATGAAGCTTATGGATCAAGGAATAATGGCAATGCCATTTATGAAGAAGAAAATGAAGAAAATATGACTGAAGCGGAAAGGGCTGAAAGAAAGTAATGTGATAAAGAGCTTGATGAGTTCAATGCTCTCCAACAGAATCTGGATGCAAAAGATGTTGAAGATAAAAATTCAGCTTTTATTTTAGAAAGTCGGAAGTCCTTGTTTCCTGCTTGGACTTTTACAGTGAATTCAGAAGGAAGCCATTGATCTTCTGGAGTTATACTGGCTAGAACCAAAAACGTCTTTTGACACTAGCAATGAGGTTGAGTTCCATTTAGACTTTCCCCTCACCCCATGAGCGTTTATTTTCTGATGCTTCCAGAAGACTGAAAGTCCCTAATCTCCAACAACGCGATCAATAAAAAACTATTCAATTTGTATCTCAAGTATGGGAAGCCTTAGTATGAGTCCTAGAGTCTAAAGAGGATCGTAGGTTTGAAGGTCGGATTACCTGTGGAAACTGAAGATTTTCCGAACATTCACTTCAAAGGATATTGTGGTTCGAATCATGTGTTTCATGAGTTTACTTTGGCTGATTTGCCATTCGTGAATCCAGATGATTGGATTTCGTTATTTAACATTATTGGGAAGGATGTGAATAAATACGAGCCTATTTTCGACCATCTGAAGAGGATGATTAAAAGCCACATCCTGTAGATTGCGAATATGGATATTGAGATTGCCTAAGTTCTGAATAAAATATCTATAATGAAGCCATTTGAAGAACCTGAGGACTTCCAACAACTGTCAGGGGGACTGATCAACAAGGAAAATTGGAGCATCGTGTATAAGAATAAGGAAGGTGCAGTTCTGAAAAATTGAATGTTCTTTTTAAGGGACAAGCACTTGTATTCCACAAGTGCTATGAATCAAATTCTGGCAAGGGCTAAAGCGAACAAAACAAACTCAGCTTCTGATATAAAATGCATGTCAGATATGATTCAGTGGTATCTAGTTGTCAAGGCATCACTTCTGAAGATAATGCCTAAGGTTTTTGAAGCACAAAGACAACAATGAAGACCTCCTTTCAATTTGACACAAAGGTGGAGATTGTTAGGTCTAATTTTGCGTTGTGTCAAATGTATGTTATTAGATTTCGTAATGGGCCTGTCCATATTCGGAACCGCTGTATGTTTTAGTCTATATATAGTATGCATGTAACTTTAGGGTTACGACTTTTGAAGCAAGTACAAAATAGTTCCGCCTCAAGAACTATTTTATTGATGTGATTAATAATCATTCGGCACCTTTTTGATCATTCATTTCTTGTCTTTAATTCATCTCATAAATATAGAATCTATCGATCTTTATTCTTTCTCATAGTACCCTCGCAGATCTCTACACGGGTGAGAGGGCAGTCTCGCAAACTTTGCGTGGGTGAGAGGTCATTCTCATATACTTTTCACGGGTGAGAGGGCAGTCTCGCATACTTTGTGCGGGTAAGAGGACAGTCTCGTAAATATTGCACGGGTGACGATTCATCCGCTCGCAGACATCAGAGAGCACCTCGTGTTGGAGCATTTTTAAGCTGCTAGTTGTGCGGGTAAGCCTTGGGTCATGCAACTTTTTCACGGGTGAGGACCCCGACCGCGCAAATTGAAGACTTTTTGTTTTTTTTTTGACATTTTTCATTCTTTTATGCTCCACAAGCTCCGTTTATATTTCAAACTTCAACAAGATCATTGCTAAGTCTCAAAATGCTTATTTTTTTTTACCAACTTGACGTATAGAAACATCCAAACTTCAAGCGGGGATTATTTATTCACAATGCATTTAATTAACGTTTTGCCAAGACATAATCCTGCTTCTTTCAACCTTCATAAATCGGGGTTTCGAATGTTACATTGTCGAATTCTCCCGTGTCACATCCTTCATATAAATGATTTCAAACGGTGTCCATTTACTTTGAAGATTTGATGCGTTTCTAAACTTTTGATTTCAACCGCACTAGGAGAAAACTCTTTTATAACAATGAAAGGTCTATGCCATCGAGATCGCAATTTTCCTGGGAATAGCTTTAAGTGTGAATGACAAAGAAGAACTTTTTGAGCTGAAACAAAGTGCTTTTGGGTTATGTGCTTATAATGAAATGCCTTTTTCTTGTCTTTGTACTTTTTGAACCTTTTGATTATCTCCTTCTTGACCACTTCCATCATTGGAAGATTCAATTTACTTTGACCCTCTCTCCTAGGTTTGAAATCATCTTCCATAAGAATCTTGTATGTGCATACATTAGTGCTTATCCCTTTGATATTCGCTATTGTCCACTCCATGGCCTCTTTGTGAGCTTTCAAAATCGTAACCAATTGGTCTTCTTCAAAATCTTTCAATTTAGAGAAATGAGCACCGGAAGAGCCTCGTCTCTAAGTAAGACTTTCAATTCAAGTGCGGGTGGGTGGATTATGGAAGGGGGCATCTTGTTGGGCGAATGAGACAAGGAAACTTGAGACACATATTTCTTTGTTGACTTGTTGACTTCCAAAGTCTTCACAATCTCTTCAACTTCAGATTCCAATGTATACATGTCCAAATTTTCCTTCAAACTCTCACAATCAACACTCATGTTGAGTACCATCTTCAAAATATCCCCATGAGATAAATAAAACATTTCTTGGTTTATTGGCTCAATCACATCAACCCGATATAATGGAGAAATGTCACTAGGGTACCTCATTGCTTCAAAGATGTTGAAGTGAATGGTCTCTCCATTAAATTCCATGGTGATTTTCCTGTTATAGACATCAATTATCGTGTGAGCGGTATTCATGAAAGGTCATCCAAGGAGGATCATAGATAATTTGGAAGGATTCTTCTCTTCAAGATCAATGACGTAGAAATCCGCGAGAAAGACATGTTGATTTACTTGTACTAGCACATCCTCCAACACTCCTCTTAGAAATACACTTGACTTGTCCGCTAATGGAATGATTACTTCGGTTTTTTCCAGAGGTCCACCATTAAGAGATTTGAAGACCGAATATTTCATCATATTGATCGAGGCTCCAAGGTCTGACATCGCACTTTCAACATGCAAATCACCAATAGTGCAAGGGATAGCAAAAATTCTCAGATCTTTGCATTTGGGAGGTAAGTTCTTTTGGATAACCGCAAACACGCTTTCATTGACTTGAATCTTTTCATTTGCCTTGAATTTCCTTTTCTTGGAGCACAAATCCTTGAGAAATTTAGCATAGCTTTGAATTTGCTTAATGGAATCCAATAGCGGAATGTTAATTTGGACCATTCCTTAAGTTTCAAAGAACTCTTTTTGTTCCTCCTTTTTCTTTGAGGGGGCTAACCTGGAGGGAAAAGGTAGTGGAATGACCAATGGCTTGATATGCTTGTTGGAATATTCGGGTTGATCAAGGTTTGGAACAAACGATTCCTTTGGAGGAACTACCACCTTTGAAGGTTCAACAACAAAAACCTCATCTTCTTCTTCTCTTGAGACTCTTTTGGGGTTTCTTTCTCCAAGTGTTTTCCTACTTTTCAAGGTTATTGCACTCGTTTTGGATTCTTCTCGGTTTGAGATGGAAGTTTACCCTATTGTTCCATCTTGTTGAGAGAGGTAGCTATGTCTCCGATTTATGCTTGAATGTTGGAGAAGTTGTTCTTGGTCTCTTGTTGAAATTGTGTTTGACTTTGAGCAAGAGAAGTAATGAGTTATTGAAGACTCATTTGATGGTTACCACTTGATTGGCCTTATTATTGATGTTGTTGGTAATTTGGAGGGGATGAGATGTTTGTGGATATGGAGGTTTTTGGGATGTGTAATGGCAAAATTGGGGTCTCATCATAACATTTGGTGGGTTTTTCTTTGGTGGGTATGGGCTGTTTGGGTTATTCCTCCAAGTCAGGTTGTATGTGTTATGAAATCTCATGGGTCTTGGTTGACCTTGATATCCTCCCATTACATTAACATCCTCTGGTTCACTTCCAAGTGTGGGACACTTATCCGTATAATGCCCCGTCATTGCACAAAGGCCACAAACCATCAATTGTTGACCACTTCCCACCACCATTTGACTCAACACATTGGTCAAATACAAGAGTTTTGATCCCATGTGTTGGGTGTTGCTAACTTCACCAACAATTTGTGGGAAACTTCTTTTCATGTCATTTCGTGTCCCAAAGTTTCTTTGATTTTGACAAATGGTATCAAAAAGTGATCTTATTTATTGAGGTGTCTTGTTAAATTTGTCACAACCACTTGAAGAATCAATCATTCTCTGATCTTTTTCATTCATACCCTCATAAAATTGTTAAAGAAGTACTTGTTCGGGTATGTTATGTTTAGGAAAACTAGTATACCAGTTGTTGAACCGCTCCCAAAAATCATGAAAAGTCTCATTCTCACCTTGATGAATCCCCAAAATGTCACTACTTTGACTTGATATTCGGGAAGTGGGATAGAACTTGCTATTGAAGTCTTTGAGTAACTCTTCCCATGTATGAATAGATCTCGGTGGTAAGTTTAATAACCACTCTCTAGCTTTATCTTCCAAGGTGAGCAGGAAGGTGGTTAACTAGAAATCATCCAATGCCACATGTTCGGGTAACATGCTAACACATATCATATTAAAGGACTTCAAATGCCTTTGAGGATCTTCTCTATCCAAACCATGGAACTTGTTTAGTTGATGTATGAAAATTGAATTCAATTCAATCCCTCGACGATTTGCGGGATAAACAATACTAAGAGGTGTGTGGGTAACATCTGTCTCCGTCATTTGTCTAGGTGTCAAATCTTGAGAGGGATTGGGTGGATTGGGGTTTTGTTGCATGTAATTAGGAGGTTGTTGGTAAGGTAGGTATCGGTATTGTTGGTGATTGTACATTTGTGGTGGATAAGGTTGCTAGTTAGGATATTGGTTGTAGGTGGTTCTTGTTTTGGGTGCATTGGGTATTGGTAAATTTGAGGTTGTTGGTAATTGGGTTGTAGTGGTTAATGTGCTTGTTGTTGTTGAACTCTAAGAGCATTGTTTTAAGGTTTGTTGTTTTGGTGGAATTTTTGGTTGTATGGTTGTGGTTGTTGATAATTGGCTTGATTTGGGTGA